ATAACAAGTACAAATATGCCAGCAAGTTTGGAAAACTCAGCAGTGGCCAGAGGATTGGAAAAGATCACTCTACATCCCAATCCCAAAGAAGGGCAGTGCCGAAGAACGCTCCAACTACCGTACAATTGCACTCATTTCACACGCTAGCAAGGTTATGCTCAAAATCCTACAAGGTAGGCTTCAGCAGTATGTGGACCGAGAACTCCCAGAAGTACAAGCTGGATTTCTTTTTTCTTTTTTATTGTTTTGATAACGTGGGTTAGGGTGTGCAATACAGAAGGTAAGAGGGGAAAGAAAGGGTTGGGGTTGGGGGGGAGGAGAAACAAAATATAGTAATATCCATTCTATTCATATTGCAATATCAAGATTCACACTCCGCTTTTCTACTATTTTCTGCCTTCCAGATTTTAGTTCACACTTTGATCTATGTTATTCGTGCACTATCTGCTGACTCTAACCATTTGTAGAATAAGTCCCATCTTTCAGTTGCCTTTTATAAAGGATAGTCCTTTATCACTTCTGATAGAATGTCCATTTCTGCCATTTTCTTTATCTGTCATTTTCTTTATAGAGCATTCTGGCTGTGGTGACTATATATAACTATACACTTCTTTGCTTTATCTATATTATCAGGTATCATACTCAATAAAAGAAGTACAAGCTGGATTTCGAAGGGGCAGAGGAACTCGAGACCAAATTGCTAACTTGCGCTGGATTATGGAGAAAGCCAGAGAGTTCCAGAAAAACATCTACTTCTGCTTCATTGACTACGCAAAAGCCTTTGACTGTGTGGACCACAGCAAACTAGGGCAAATCCTTAAAGAAATGGGAGTGCCTGACCACCTTATCCATCTCCTGAGAAACCTATGTGTGGGACTGGAAGCAACAGTTAGAACTGGATATGGAAACACTGATTGGTTCAAAATTGGGAAAGGAGTATGACAAGGCTGTATATTGTCCCCTTGCTTATTTAACTTATATGCAGAATACATCATGTGAAAGGCCAGACTGGAGGAATCCCAAACCGGAATTAAGATTGCCGGAAGCAATATCAACAAACTCCGATATGCAGATGATACCACTCTGATGGTAGAAAGTGAGGAGGAATTAAGAAACCTTGTAATGAGGGTGAAAGAGGAGAGTGCAAATGGTCTGAAGCTCAACATTCAAAAAACTAAGATCATGGCCACTGGTCCCATCACCTTCTGGCAAATAGAAGGGGAAGATATGGAGGCAGTGACAGGTTTCACTTTCTTAGGCTCCATGATCATTGCAGATGGTGACAGCAGCCCTGAACTTAAAAGACGCCTGCTTCTTGGGAGGAAAGCGATGACAAACCTTGACAGCATCTTAAAAAGCAGAGACATCACCTTGCCAAGGAAAGTCCGAATAGTCAAAGATATGGTTTTCCCTGTAGTGATGTACGGAAGTGAGAGCTGGAGCATAAAGAAAGCTGACCGCCGAATAACTGATGCTTCTGAATTGTGGTGCTGGAGGAGACTCTTGTGAGTCCCCTGGACTGCAAGGAAAACAAACCTATCCATTCTGAAGGAAATCAACCCTGAGTGCTCACTGGAAGGACAGATTCTGTAGCTGAGGCTCCAATACTTTGACCATCTCATGAGAAGAGAAGACGCCTTGGAAAAGACCCTGATGTTGGGAAAGTGTGAAGGCAGGAGGAGAAGGGGACGACAGAGGATGAGATGGTCGGACAGTGTCATCAAAGCGACCAATATGAATTTAACCCAACTCCGGGAGGCAGTGGAAGACAGGAGGGCCTGGCATGCTCTGGTCCATGGGGTCACGAAGAATTGGACACGACTAAACGACTAAACGACAACAAAAGATAAAGACCTGTATGTTGTTAAATGTTTTTGGTATTTCAGCATAAGTAACGCTTACTAATCAGAACTAAAACTATTTTTGAGGGGTGTCATTTTGGCTATCTTTTTGTCTGTGAAAAAGAATAATTAAAAATCCCCAAGGAGTAACACATTTATAAAGTGTTAATAACATGGTTCCCTTAAAGTAACACCTTACTTTTTTAAAAAAGCATCAGCTAACAGTAAATTGTTACTTGTTTGAAATAACATCCCATGTTATTTCAAATTACTACTTCTTTTTTCCTGTGTTGGTCTTAACAACAGTATAGTGTTATAGCTGTACCAACTGGTTATGGCATGCAGAGTGAATTTTAGCCTGGATTTGCAAATTAATTTAAACATGGATTCCAAATTCAAACTACGGGGGGATCAGGGAGGCAGATATAGTGCTACATCACTATCAAACTGAAACAATGGAAAGGGGTGGATTTCTGTAGGAGAGAGGAAGTAGTGCCTGAAATACGCATCAAGCTCTTGACCTCCTTAGAAAATTACAAGCATTACACTTCACTTCAGTGAATAAATACATGTTTAAATCTTTCATCCTGATGAAACCAAGGGAATTTAGAAATGTTTCATTTTGACTGGATTATGCCCTTTGCTGGAACACTAACCATTAGAACATTCACTGGTAATCTAGGTTTTATTTTGTTTTCCATTTAAAAAGAGAGAGCTCTAAAACAGAAAGTGCAGATTGCATTTATTCTCTGCATGGATGGTCCTCAGTAAGGTCACACAAGTACTTAATACACCAACCAAACAGTTCCTACATTCAAATCACATTCAGTTCAATGAAATGTTAATTCTCCTATACAAACAAACAAAAATATGATAATAACAGTAACAAAAAAGACAAGCCAGCAAGATTAAAAAAAAAATCCTAGTTCTAAATTAACAATAGCAGAATGCTACTGAGAAAATGCCATGGAAATCTCACTGAAGCAGGACTTAAATTCAGGCCACTTCTTAGCAATGCTCATCACAGATTTTTAAAAATATTGTTGTTTTCTTTTCTTTTTTAATGCTTTGGGTTTGAGAGTTAGATTTTTCCAGTGTGATGCACTCATTAAAAAAATGCTAATGCAGAAGCATAAGACTCCTGGTAGGATAAAATATAAATTTAATTCGTCTGAATATTACTGCTGACTGACGCCCATTTGCTGGTGATCGGCTTCTGCTTCTTCTTCTTCCACATCTGCATTATATTCCTCAAATGCATCATCATCTACATCTGGAAGCCCCAATAGCTAGTAGTAAACAAGAAAGAAATACACTGTAAGCATCATGTGAAATAGTAAAAATTAAATAGTATTGATAATATTCAGGAACAATTTCTGCACAATATTTGCAGCACCAGTGAAATAAATTTAAAACCAGAAAGTGTAGCCTTGGTGGCTTGCAGATTAAGAGTTTATCCCCAAGAAGCAAACATTCAAATCCCCCACTGTGGGACTTCTTGGGGTTCATGTTTATTTATTTATTTTTTATTTACAAGATTTTTTAGCCGTGCCATTTCCAATGGTCTCTAATTCACATTGAATGTTAATGAAGGACATCTCTGCAAACCCCTTTTCTTCTGGAGACCTTTCTTAATGGAACTTTGCTACTTTTGATAAAATGCCTAAAGGGTGGGCTAATTTTAAAAAACCATCCGGAAGCTCTGATATGAAAATGGGCTCTTCACAGAAAGTGCTGCAGTGCTAAACTCTGCTCTCCAGAACAAAATTCTGGAACAAACTAAAGCTTCCTTTTAGGAAAAGCAACAAAACACAAGGAGCAAGGGAAAAGGCACTGCTGGTATCAGATGAAGTCTTGTGTCATCTTAATGGTGGCAAAATACTAAACCCATCAATTGCCAAAAACTGCTGAAATAGGAAAGTATTTGTTTGCAGGTGGAAATATGGCAGCCTAGCCTTCTGCCACAAAAAAGTTCTACAGTCTGGGAACAGCTATAGAGAAAAAAGAGAATGTGTAAAGGAGCCCACATTTATATGCCTCTTTTTAGCTCAGTAGTGGGTGCTGTCAAATTTGGGGGGACATTTTCACTCGGATAAGACTTCAGATTGGAGAAAAAAATCAGAGAATTGTTGACAAGTTTCATACTAGGCCACTAGCCTGACTGTATATAAGTAATGTTTTCTTGGGGGCAAGAAGGCAGATGAAAAGGGGGTGACACCTTGTCTTGCTTGAACAGTTCTGTTAACTGCTGCTTTTCACAAAACTTCCTTGCAGGTGGTTGATGCTCGGGACTTGGGTGGTGGTGGTGGTGGTTGTAACCTTCTGATTGCAGTGTGGGTGGGTAGGTGTAATCTCCAAAGGACTGATGGCCATCCATGGACAGGAGATGGCTATACCTGTTCTCATGACCCCTAACCATGGTTGAGGGGGTCCCTTCTGCCTCCTAATGGATTTTTGTTTTAAAAAAATAAAATCTGGGAGGCCAAGGTTGCTGGGGGATCTTCCAAAATTTGCAAGAAATTTGTCTTTCAAAGACACAAGGTGACTTTTTGAGTCTCGTCCCTAAAAACTGGGGAGATGAGTGGCAATATAGGCCCCACCTTTAGATTGCAAAATTGGGAAAGGCCTTCTAAGCACCCTTTAATCCCACCTCTACAATATCAGGGCTTTCAAGGTCTCTAAACCATACCCATTATTGGATTTATTCACAAATCAAGTAACCTGTGGTATACAGCTTCAGTTTATGAGGGCTCCCTAAATAAAATAAATTAATGGGAATATAAAAATAAATGTTAGATAAATGCACTTTGTTTTGTAATACTACAGCAAAGCTTAAACTTGACATAGCTAGCCTCAGCATATCTTAATCTGCTCCTGAACTGTTGGTATAGGACCATCCTTCCTTACCTCTATGGATAACAAATGTTCTCCTTCTGAACCCACTCCTCCAGGTGTAGAATGTGACAGAAACAGCAACACAGAGAGATGGTTTACTGTGCTGCCCTATGTGCATGTTTATTAGGCCGAGAAAGGGAAGAGACATCCAGGGCTTATGAAATTCCACAGGAAAAAGCCCACACAAAGTCCTCAAACACCAGCTATTCCACAGGTCTTCTGATAAACCATGCAAAAATAAAACCGCAGATCATTGCTCATATGGATGGGAAACCCATAGTTTGCTCTGTGTCCCAACCTGAAATCTTCATGTGGAAACTAATAGTAAGGGAGCAGAAAAGCAGGCAGACTATCCAAAATAGACATGTAATTCCACACACTTAGGAGAGGTTATGAAAAACCACAATAGTAGTGCATTGTATCTGCTATTTGCTGTGACTGAGCCAAGCCACTGCCACAGTTGAACAGAAGAAAAACTGGCACTTACAGGTCTGAATGATCTGAGGACTTTTTCCAGTATTTCATGGAGTGTTTTTTTACCACAGGAAGAGATGTAGTCCTGAGCCAATTGCAGGAAAGGCAAGCAGTCCTCGCTTTCACTCCAGACATGCTGAAAGGATAAAGAAGGGTGGGGTGGGGGAAAAACAAACCAAGCATCAGGCAAAATCCTGAAATGTGGAGGATAAGGAACTGTGAAGTGACCTACCGAGAGCTGAAGGACACAACACATCAAAACACATAAATCCCAAATCAGTGGAGGCCCCCACTGAGCCCTCTGTTGTCCAGTGGCTGTGTAGGGGTGTCCAGGTCCTCTGCTTGCCATAGGACTGCTACCTAAATTACAGGAAATGTCAAGAAGTCCTTTCTGCCCTGCTTATACGAAGCAATTCAAACAAAGAATTTTTGCAAATTATCCTTCCCCCACCGCATACACAGTGTACAAGCCTTGGTCTTGTCCCCATCCCATCTTTGTGTAACAGTTGAGGTATTCAGAAGAAAAACGAAGCACATGCATTGGTGCAGACAAGGAGAAACCAGGGTCAGTGCCTGAGGCTGGAACTGTCAGGTACTTGGAACACCAAGGGGAACTCAGCACTTTGTAAAGCAAATGAAAAAGGGGGCAAATATTCAGTCTCTTTTGGATCCTGAAGGAGTCATTAGCTGTGAAAGATGTTGAACAATTGATGAGCTATTATTAAACATTTCCTAGTTTTGTCCAGCACTGAATTTTTTTTGTCCTCATTTTTACTTGCGTTGGGCCCCTGCCACACCAGGGAGCTTTCATAGGCCCCTTACATGGTCCACCTGCCCTCTGCTAGTAGGAGAGCAGGCGTGAGAAGCAGCAGCTTCACCCTGCTTTTCTTCTATCTTGACATACAAGCTGGGCCTAGACAAAATGGGCAAGCAAGGGCAGTTGGAGGCCCACTCGGGCGGGGACATGATTCCCCAAACCTGGACAGAACATGGAAACGTGGTTTATGGGTTACAGCTCCCAAAAGTCCCAGCCAGCCTCTGGCCATGCTGGCTATGGGATTCTTGAGTTTGTAGTTCAAAAAATAATTATGCAAGCTTGTTCTGTCTGATAGAGGGCAGAGGAGCTAGCAATACATAAAGAGGTAGCAGTAATAAAAACTGCCTTCCGAGGTCGGTAAAATGAGTACCCAGCTTGCTGGGGGGGGGGGAACGTGTAGCCTGCATAATTAACTTGTAAACTGCCCACAGAGTGCTTGAAGCGCTATGGGGCGGTATATAAGCAGCACGCTTTGTTTTTTGCTTTTTGTCCCCTACTCCATCAGAAGATACAAAGGTCTCCATTCATTGTCTCAAGTAAGGGCTTAATCACATGGACAATTGAATCATTTCTTTTTCCTCTTTTTAAAATATCGATATAGTTGTATGTATAGTCACATGATATATATATCGCTGGCCCATTCAAATGGCTGTCAGTCCAATAGGTACATTTTTTGCTATTTCTTGCTATGTAGTTCCTTCCTCTTTTTAAAATATCGATATAGTTGTGTGTATAGTCACATGATATATATATATCGCTGGCCCATTCAGATGGCTGTCAGTCCAATAGGTACATTTCTTGCTATTTCTTGCTATGTAGTTCTGTACGCTACATGTGCAATACCATAATTTATATTATAAATTCCTTTTCCATCCCATTTCTATGTCCCCGGTGCCATAAATTCTTTTTTTAAAAATGTAAGTAATATACGGCTAAAGCTGCACATACATTTGTGTGCAATTATGTAAAACTGTAGAAACCAGTATTGGAATTTGATTCATAATTCACACAAAAGCAGGGATGACATTTACAATAGGGAAGACATTGGCTAAATAATACATCATTCAACTGTTGTGGAGAAAAAAAAATAAAAGAAAAAGTAAGTGATTTACTGCTAAGCATTTTAAGTTTTTTCTTCCCAAGGGTACAAGAGCAGTGGCCATGGCATCCCAAAACTCCATTTTACTGCTAAGCATTTTAAGTTTTTTCTTAAAATGCAAAGTAAATAAATCGACTGCAATGTTCACATGCACCAAAATGATAAGGACTGAAGTGATACAGGAATCAGATCATTTTTAAATGGCCATTCTGGCAAGGTGGAAAAAAAACAACTGCATGGCCAAATGAATCAATGTTACCTGTGTATCATGTCAATGGAAATTTATGAAACAATTTGAATAACAGAATAATGGATATCACTGAAGTTCTTTTGGCACTTGTGACTGCACCCTAAGTTTATCTACTTATATATCTCTATTAGCTAAGCAATAAAAAATGATAAGAATGATAATAGCAATAAATACACCAGCAGTATTATGACATTTCCACCACTTTGGGTTATACGTGTTTGACATTTCTACTAACCTAACTGGCCATCATGTACTATCTAGTCATCACACCCACTCTTTTTATTCCCTACACATCTCTGTTTTGGACAAATTCACACCCACTGTGTCTGCAACAACACGTTGCTACAATATTAATCCACTGATGTCCACAATCTTTCAGAAAACGGAGAGAGGATGTGAACAAATGAAACACTTAATTTGGTTACAAATTGTTTTGTTGATAAGACTTCAAGATCTAAGAGGACAAAACAAGGCAAGTGCAGTGCATTGAGCAGACATCTGGGCTAGGACTGGGTAGACATGGGTTAAAAGTAGTAGATCATTTTTTCAGCCTAATCCACCCCATAAGAATATAAAAGGGGAGGGATCTTGATCTTGGAAGACTGGCAGGATAAAACCATTATTAATAACAACAACATATGAGAAATAAATGTATCCTTCCCTTGGAATAGATAGTATCACTTATGTATCCAGTGGCCATTTGCACATCATAAAGCCCTTCAAAGGAAGAGAGCAGAAAAGGCAAAATATAGTGATCACTATACTAAGAAAAAAGAAGATTAATGAACACCACAGGCAGAGCCAAGTGAATCTGAACTTGTTGATAGACCCTGGCTGAAATCCAGTACTAAGTTTGAATCAATGAAACTTACACAGGTATTGACTCACCAAATCCAACCACTGCGCCACGAGGCTCTTCAGTTGCATGTCCCTATTAGATTTCAATCCAATCTATTAGCTGGAGGACTTACCCTACTGATTCAATGAGCTTACTGTAGTTGCATGTCCCTATTAGATTTCAGTCCAATCTATCAGCTGGAGGACTTGCATTATGTCTTCCAAAGTTCTGGAACTTGTTGAAGGCTTGGGGGACATATTTGAAATGGTATCTGCTCTATAGATCGGAAAGGAATTAAATTACATAAAGCTAGGAAACCATTTTCATCACAGAACTCATCCTCTGAATGCAATAACAATTTTCAAACAACCAATTAAGAAACAGTTTGAAAAAGATGAGAATTTTCTGGTGTTTGTAAGCAACATGCATATGCTGCTGCAATCCATTGACCATGTTCTTCAGAACAGTGGTCTTCAGAACACTTGCTGCTCTGTTAGTTTTCATACAGTGGAGCATCTCCTAACAGATGCATTAGAACTCGATGCATATTATGACAAAACCCCAACTCTACTAAGGCTCTATACATGATTTTCATCTCAGAAATAAGCAGGCATCCTGGAAACTTCAAGTTACCTGGAAGAGCATCAAACAAGATATTTATTTTGTCCCCAAATACCTAGGTGCTGCTTTGGAACATACATTGACCTATAAGATTCACTGCCAAAACACAAAGCAAAAGGTCCCTACAAAGTTTTTTTTCTTATCAAATCTATCAGGAACCAGTTGGGCACACAATCACAAACCCTAAGAACTACAGCCCTGTGCTATTCTGCAGGCAAATACACCAGCCTGGTGTGGTGTAATTCAGCCCGCGCAAAACAGACTTAGCAGTCAATGAAAGCTGCACATCCCAACAATCACTCTACCAAGAAGCTGAGTCCTACCATAATGGAAACAGAAAGCCCAGTTTCTAAGAAGGATACTTCCATGTTTATAGACATTGTGTAATTATATATTTCATTTGCAGCAAGCTGATGGGCAGGAGGAAATGAGCAATTAAGAAAACATTGGTTCGTTTGTTTGTTTTAATCCAAGGAGACAGCCTTATTAGCAGAAAAAACAACTAAGAGTCTCATGGTACTTTTAAAAGGAACAAGTTTTATTTGGTATGAACTTTCATGGACGTATCCCGCTTCTTCAGATGCATGGAGTACAATACAGTGGTGCACCGCTAGACGATTACCTTGAAAAATGGTTTATTTGCTAGACGATGAGTTTTTGCAATTGCTATAGCGCTTCGCAAAACAGTGTTTCCTATGGGCGATTTTCACTGGATGATGTTTCGGTCCATGCTTCGCAAGATGGTGTTTTTTTTTAAAGGGGTTTTTTTTTTTTTTTTTTTTTGAGGGGGGACTATTTTTCGCAAGATGACGATTTTGACAGACGAGTCCACGCTTTGCAAAGTGGTTTTTTAACGGATGATTTTTCGCAAGACAGTGATTTTGACTGATCAAAACGGCTTTCCTAGGGCCATTTTCAGAAAACAATGACGATTTTTCCCCATTGGAATGCATTAAATGGATTTCAATGCATTCCAATGGGGAACTGCATTTCGCAAGATGTTGTTTTCGTAAAACAGTGATTTTCGCGGAACGAATTAGCATCGTCTTGCAGGGCACCACTGTATTCAAACTACAGTTTATATGCATACCGCTTATGGGGGTGGTGGAACAGAATGAAATAAGATATAGAAAATGGCAACTATATTATTATTTTTTAAGCTACCAAATAATATGAGTATTTATTTTACACATGACTCTTTTAATTCAGATTAGAGACACACAGAATACAACAATTTAAGAGACTCATCATGAGTCCTAAATTTGAAATGATCTGTAAAAAATACTGGTTCTCCTTTCCAGGAAAATAACTCCATTCTACCTTTAAGGACCCTCTGGAGGCCTGCCCAAAACATGAATTAGCACTGCCAGCTGACCTAAAGCACCAGCTGTTGAGATAAACAACACGGCCACTACATCACTCACTGCATATAATCCAGACGTAACTACCAAACCACGAAAGCCTGTATTATTATTATTAATAATGTGCCATTAATTCTGACTTAAGGTGAT